TTCAGTGTTTACATTACATTTTAATTTTTTTTTTTTTACAATACCAAGGTAACAACAACTGGCGCATTTGTATTGCATTCCAAAGAGTTCTGTTTTTAGCACCAAATCTGTGCTGACTGGATTAGCACAATTAAATGGTCAAATGAATGGAAAAGTGGTTCTGTCGATGTAGTCAAGCTAATTCGTAAAGGCAAACAATCTACATAGGCTTTGCATAACTTAAAATATCAGTTTAAAACATTAATGCCCTTGTAAAAGCAGTATTGCAACAATGGCATCATCCTTCAGACCTGTTGACCTCTGTAGTTGCTGCCTCCAGCTTGCAAAGGCAACGGTTTTGACCCATTTTTTTTTAAATTTTTTTGGTTGATAGAAGGCCTCTTGATGTTGGAAAGAAGTTCAGATTGATGTAGTTTGCTTGCCATCATCGTCATAGCACAAGGTCAGCACACCATTAGACGGTTTAGGTGACCTATCGTAATGTTCAGCCTGAACACTTTGGACAGACATTTTTTTTGTTGTTCTATGCCAAACCCAAAATATAAAAATACAGAAAAATCACTTACTTTAATGAGTACTTTTTGAATGTGAAGAGACTTTCAACAAGCACAATGAAGTTTCTGAAGACACACATTCCAACTTTAACTTTGGCCATCCATGATGTTGGTGACTTTCTTCAACGGAGAAGATTGTTGTGGTTCTTGGTGACTCATAAAATCGAAGTGAACTACTACTGTTAATTTAGCGTATTCAATCATTTTATCATTACAAAACTGACCTAGATATATTTAAAGATGCATGAATGTTTGCGTTTCTATAGTTAACCTTTTACCCAGACTGAATTAAATTGTGCCTACTGCCAAGTACACAGTCATATGCAGATGTCCATATGCCTTTAATTATATACCAAATCATGAGGTATGACAATGATCAAATTGCTGTTCAGCATTGGGAAAAGCATCATGTGATACATTATGTCTTTCAGCAACGTATGTTTGTTGAATGCAAATGGTTGTTAAAACCCCATCGGGAGGAGGGATTGCCCACAAAGAACAAGTTAGAAAATAACTGGAGAATCAGCTGATGAATTGAATATGGTACAAGTAATGTGGATTTGAGAGACACTGTGGACTCGAGCAGACATGAGCTTTGTCTACTTTATTGCTCAAGCAAGAAATTATGGGACAATGGGAGCTCATTGACTTGACACATTTTTTGGTAGCTGAAGAAATAAATTGCAATGACATTACAATAAACGAAAAACAATACAAAATAGCTCAATAAAATTAATACATGGCTACAGATTTATGTACTGCATACAAGATAAGAGTTCTATCTTAAGGGACACCAGAGAGTCGTAGATTGCTTGTGTTTCATCTTGTAGATGGATGGTTTAACACATGTCTTTAATTGAATGTTACGAGGATGTGACTATATGTGAATTTAAAGGTTATGATTCCAGTTCCATTAAGAGTTCCTAGTACTTTTTATAAAGTATTGAGTTTTTTTTTTAGTTTTTCATCAATGTTAGACCAACTTTTTTGAACTTTTTTTTACAGACTAAAAGATAAACTCATATACTATACAGAATTACGGCTAATTTATGCATCTGCGTAGAGTAATTGGCATAACCCACGGCACCTGCCTTGCACGTAGCTGTGCATTTATACTTCTGCATGCTGTTTTTGTTGCTCTGCAATAACACTTCCAAAACGCGAGCTGGCAGTAGGCTTTGTGTTTCTCTGTATTGTGTTTCTTCATGGATGTTTTGTTTTTTTCTGAACACTACAAGTAGCTAAAACTTGCTCATTCTAACGTGGGAGTCAGCGAACTTGCAACAGCTTTAGTTTTGTGTTTACCCTCTGATTAAAGTTCCCATTAACAGCTACTCTCAGCCCGCCCACACAAGTTACAGCTACCAAGCCGACCAATCGCAGAACTTGTGCTATACATCAATGCGACGTATAGTTACATTGTTTGAGACGTGCATGTCGGCATCCCCGTCAGCTACTGCAAGGGTTATGCGCTCATGTGAAGGCTGCACCAGATCAAACTTATACTTTATTAAAGTATAAATCAGCCTTTACAGTACTGCTAAACACTCATGATTACAGACATAAATAGTACAAGAGTCTGCTTCCGTATTCCAAAACTCCTATATTTAAATAGAGATTTGTGATATACACAATGCATAATATCTCAGTTTTTTTTTATTTCTAGCTATATTTTGCTGTGGTTTTTAACTGACAAGCCCATGTTCAGCTAGACTCTGAAGTTGTCGGATCAGTGATTTAATAGCTTTATCACCAGAATCTGCGATAACAGACACAAAAGGAAGGAATATAGCGGGATACAGAGGGATTATGGGAGGTAGACACTTGTCTTCAGTCATTGAAGTGCCCCAGGTGTCGTTATCAGAAACCATGATTACATCCTTGTCAGACCTCTAAGTTTCTAATCCATCAGTGCTCTTCTTTTGCCCCCTAATACCTCCATTGACACATCCATCCATGCCAGTGATAGCTTTGTGGAGTATAAAATGAGATCTTTGTGGCTGCCGCTTGCGTTGGAAGATCAATAGATTGTATAGGAACACTCCACTTTTTCTGGAAATGGGTTCATTTAACAACTCCTCTAGAGTTAAACAGTTTTATTATTTTTGAATTCATTCAGTCCATCTTTTAGTCTGGCGTAGCTTAGCTTAGCATAGATCATTGAATCGGATTAGACCATTAGCATCCATTAGAGTTTTTATAATTTTTCTGTATAAAGTTTGGCTCTTGTGTAGTTACATTGTGTACTAAGACTAATTTCTGGCATAATAATCAAGGAACTTTGCTGCCATACTATGGCTGCAGCAGATGCAATGATATTACTTAGTGCCAATACCTGCATCCATGGTTTTCTATTGATCTTAGCATGATGCTAATGGTCTAATCTGATTAAATGATATAAGCCAAATTAAAGGTACTCCTGCCAGACCCAAAGATCTTCTGAATGGATTAAAAAAGGGTTAAACTCAGCTGTGGGGAGCTCCCAACCTAAGATGATCCTGAAGGGGATCTTGAAAAAAAAAAAGTGGAGTGTTTCTTTAAAGTACTTCTTCAGGTCTTATAGAACTGAGGGAGGTCAGTGCTGTAATTTTTACAGTTCATCAATTTCTGATGGATTGAATTATGAATAAAATAAAAGGATGAAGGAGATTTTTTTTTCTTATAGGTTGGACTGAATGGAGTGAAAGCCAAGTGGTATTGCTGACCTAGTTTGGCATCTGTTAAAAGTAGATTAAAAGAAATGGACATTTTAAAGGGAATGAATCCTTCCACCAGTCTTTTGTGTGAAAGGCTTTAAAAAACACACATGCCAAAGATGCTTAGCTCCCTTTGAAGGGTTCATTAAGCCTTTAAGTAACTGGCATGAAAGGTCCTTCGAAGGCCATCGTGTTTCCTTTCAAAGAGTTTTAAAAATATTTTTTCACCTTCCAACTTTTCATTGCATTCGAATAAGTACACTCTAGTGTCTCTTCAACCTCATTTTAACTTTTCTGCTGTAAATTGTTGAGTAGAAATGAAATTATTATCAGCTTCTCTGCGTTATTTGGCCCTTTGGTTTTGTTTGATATTCCTTTCATGCTTCTGTGATTATTTAGTCCAACTAATTATAGCTTGTTTTACATATCTGCGTTGTTTTGCATGTCTGTCACGTCAGGAGCAGATTAATAGTGCTCATCGTCTCAGACAGAAGTTGAGGCAATCATGCATGGAAATAGAGTCTGTTTCCTTCTCCCCCAAAGCCAAAGTGTTGCTCACCTTAAGAAATCATAAGTCACAACTGGAAAACTAGCATTTCTAATCCACAACAAGGTGGGAAAATTGTATCGTTTTGAATAGACCTGCAGGAATTTGAGAAAAAAGTTCCTGCATTTTCTTCTCCTAATGGAACCATGCTGACATAAAGTAATGTATTCACTTTTTGGATGGTAGTTATTCATTTTCATCACCCAGTGAGTGTTTTAGTTGGTTTAATTGACGGAACCCCTGCCGCACCGTATGCATGCGATTTTTAGTTCAAGGTGTCCTTTGATATGCTTTGATATCTTTCTTTTAGATCCTAGCGAATCAAACGCTCTAACAGTGATAAAAGACAATTTCATCTGGATATTAGGTCTGTAAATTCAGAGCGTTTTACATTGCTGTTTCTATTTAGAATGGCTACCGTTTATATTATGTGAATTCATGTTGCAAATGACAAATATAAAAGTGATTTTTATTAGCTTGTTTGAGGTAGTGTGACGTGCAGAGTGGAAACCGTGCAGGGATGTTGTTCTGTAAAGGCTTATGTATCTTTAAAGACACTTTAAGTGCCTTTTTGTGCTGAAGGAAATTACAGTATTTTTTATGGACAAGCTGTTTACCTCTGTCTTATTTCCAAGGGAAACAAAACATTCAAGATGAATAATGTAAGGGAAAGAGGAATTGGTGGTGTTAGCTGAAATGAAATGGTGTCTCGGATGTGAAGAAAGGCATTAAATTTTGATAAAAGACTGATGATGTTTGTGTTGTTGTTTGGAGTATAGTAAAAATGTGAACGTGCAAAAAATAAGTACATTCATAAATAGGTCAAGTGAAGGTCAATGATTTGGCACATTCTTGTTTCAGAAGTCTCAATGATACAGAGAATAAATCCCCATCTGAAATTTGTTTTTGTTTGACTTTAAAACTAATTTCCAACTTAAGATGACTTTTGCATAGCCTTTTCCAAGATGAATTAAAAATTAATAAACTGTAAAGATCTCTTTATCTCATGCATTACATTTTGAATTACATCTTGTCCCCCTTTAGCTATATCACACCAATCTGTAGCTACAATCTTTCTGAAGAGTTTTGCTTTAATGATCCAATAATCTGATTGCAGCATGTCTTATTATTCTCAGTGCATCAAGCGTTTGTCCTGCTGCACAAAGCTAATCAAGATTGTCTCCGTCCTTTTTGTTTTCCCAGCAGGACAAAATGGAAATCTGCCAGTGTTTGATTATCAGGTTTGGAGGAATGGTGAAATAGCAAAACCGATGCAAGATGGCTGCCCACAGGATCAGAGTAACCAACAACAACAATGTGCTCCCTAGGTGTAAATCAGAGGGCACTCTTATTGATATTGATGAGGGAGTGACTGAGGCGAGTCTCGTAGATGTCAAAGGTCAGTATATTACACCGCTAATAAACCTACAGTACCTTTGATTCAGTCGTGCAATGTAAATTTCAGATCAGTAATTCATATCAATTTGTTTAACGTTACAGTGCCTTCTCCCAGTGCCTTGCGTTTGGCCCCATCGACTTCATTTGGGACTGCACGGGAAGTTGTTGCCATTAAGGATTACTGTCCATCCAGTTTTACCACCTTAAAGTTCTCCAAAGGGGATCATCTCTATGTGCTGGACACATCTGGAGGGGAATGGTGGTACGCCCACAACAACCGAGAAATGGGATACATTCCTTCAACATATGTCCAGCCAATCAACTACAGGAACTCATCTCTTAGTGACAGTGGAATGATTGACAATCTTGGGGACTGTTCGGAGGAGGGCGCAAAAGAGCTAGACCTGCTAGGGGAGTGGACTGGAGTGTGTCTGAAACCCTCCCTGCCTTATGACAACAACAACCCTTTCTCCATGCTGTCCTCAACCAACCCATTTCTAAATGGGTCTATGGATGATGTCCTCGATCAAAACAGCAACGAGAAGCCGAATCAGTGCAACAGCATGGATTTACTTTTCTTTGACTTGCCTTCAGCTCCTATCTCCACCACCAGCAACACAAAAGGGTACAGCATTAGTGGCTTCGATGGGACATCCACCAGCGCTGATCTCGAAGCCTTGCAGATGCTTCGCAAGGACAATCCCTTTTTTCGGAGCAAGAGATCCTACAGTTTATCGGAGTTATCAACCTTACAAGCTCAGTCAAATCCTCCATTGCCTTCATCAGGGTTTTTTACAGGACTTAAAGCTCCCTCGCCAGAACAGTTTCAGAACAGAGAGGACTTCAGGACAGCATGGCTAAACCACCGAAAGTTGGCACGATCTTGCCATGATCTTGAATCTCTTGGGCAGAACCCAGGCTGGGGTCAAACACAACCAGTAGAAACCAATATTGTCTGCAAGTTGGACAGCTGTGGAGGGGCAGTACAGCTCCCAGATACGAATATCAGTATTCATGTTCCCGAAGGCCATGTTGCAGTAGGAGACACTCAGCAAATATCTATGAAGGCTCTACTAGATCCTCCTTTGGAACTGAACAATGACAGATGCTCCACTGTCAGTCCAGTGGTTGAAATCAAGCTGAGCAACATGGAGATAAAGTCATTCATTACCTTAGAGATGAAGGTATCAGTTATGACTAGGACGGAAAGTCCAATGGCGGAGATTGTATGTGTGAGAAGTGATTGCAAAGAGGGTCCCTATTCTCCTGTTCCACAAGCTTACATTTATGGTGATACCATACAAGTTCAGCTGGACAACTTGGAGCCCTGCATGTATGTCGCAGTTGTTGTCCAGGCTAAACATGTTTCCTTCAGTTCAAATGTATGGAATCATATGGTGAAGAAAGTTACATTGGGCCTCTATGGGCCCAAACATATTCACCCGTCTTTTAAAACTGTTGTGGCCATTTTTGGCCATGACTGTGCCCCTAAGACTCTACTAGTAAGTGAGGTTGGGAAGCAAGCAAAATCTGCACCCCCTGTTTCCCTGCAGCTATGGGGGAAGCACCAATTTGTACTTAGCAGACCTCAGGACTTACAGATAGGCATGTATTCAAACATGTCAAACTATGAGGTCAAGGCAAATGATCAAGCTAGGGTTGTTCGTGGGTTTCAGATCAAACTAGGCAAGGTGAGCAGGCTCATCTACATGATTTCATCACGGAAAGCAGATGAGATTTCTGACTTCACGCTACGTGTCCAAGTAAAAGATGATCAGGATTGTATCCTTGCGCAATTTTGTGTTCAAACACCCCAGCCGCCCCCTAAAACAGGGATGCGGAACAATGGGCAAAGGCGGTTTCTAAAGAAGAAGGAAGTTGATAAAATAATTTTGTCTCCTTTAGCAATCACCACCAAATACCCACAGTTTCAAGAACGCTGCATTACCAACTTGAAGTTTGGCAAACTGATCAAAACCGTTATCAGACAGACCAAGAATCAGTACCTGCTGGAATATAAAAAAGGGGATATTATCGCCCTTCTTAGTGAGGAGAAGATCAAACTCAAAGGACAACTATGGACCAAAGAATGGTACATTGGATACTATCAGGGAAAGATTGGACTTGTGCATGTAAAAAATGTACTTGTGTTGGGAAAGGTTAAGCCTATATACTTCTGTGGGCCAGACCTTACAACCACAATGCTGATGGAGCAAATCCTAAAGCCCTGCAAGTTTCTCACTTACATTTATGCCTCTGTGAGGACAATACTTATGGAAAATCTGGGAAACTGGCGAGCATTTGCTGATGCTCTGAGCTACGTGAATCTTCCTTTGACGTATTTTTGCAGAGCAGAGCTGGATAGTGAACCCGAGAGAGTTGCCTCTGTGCTGGAGAAACTAAAGGAAGATTGCCTCAACATGGAGACCAAGGAGAAGAAGTCTTTTCAGAAGGAACTAATGATGGTAAGCCTCCATGTGCATTAATTTGTCTGACTTGCATATTGTGGTTATGTTTGCTTTCTGAATGCACTAGATACCCTGTCCGAAATGGACGACTATTGGAAAATTGGTCACAAAGTACTTGATTTAAACCTGCTTTATGCAGTCCTGCTTATCTGTCTTTTCTCTTATTAATGCTTGGGGCTAATTCTGATGAGAGTGCACTTGCTCTCGTGAGCTGCTCTCTGATGCCTTTCTTATCTGTACAGCTGTGGAAACCTGCAAGTGCAGCAGCAGCCAGAACCCTGCATGGTTTGCTCACTCTCAAACTGAAAGAAAGATTGTATTAGTTTTTTTATCACTGGGCACAGGATGTCCATGGCTAGTAATGTACAAGTTGCCTCTGCCTAATCTCTACAGTGTTCAGAAATACTAATTGTTCGGTGTCCTTTAAAGATTAGTTAATCTATAAATGAAGGTTCTGTCATATTTTATTCATGAAGTAACTTAAATATATAGTGGCACTTGTCTGATATTTTGGTATCAGTCTTCAGTCACTGTGATTAGATTAAAAAGAAAGAAAGTTGGATTAGACATTTAACATGAGTTGGTGAGTTGTGAACAAACAACTTCTTTAGTTCAAGATGTTCTTTCCCGCTATTGTGTTATTGATAAGTTAGTATCTCAACATCACAGAATGTAAGTTGTGAAGCCATTTCTACCTTACATAGCCATTCCACTAGCATTACCGTATATCTCATTCATAAGTAATACGTTTTATGCCCCACTTCTGTCAGCTCAGAAAAGTGGTGCACGGAGAAAGATACGTGTTATCGGTTGTTCAGGCTGAATAGCAAGAGAAAGGAAGGACCTTGTCATTTCAGTCTTTTCTTTTTGCAAACGTTAGCTGTAACATCTTGTCTTGGATAAGCAACACAAATAAGCAACACATTTTAGGTGTTTTTAAAGGTCCAAATGGGGATGCCGGGTTGTCCCTGATATTAGTGTTAAAGCGATAGATCCCTGACAGGAGTCTTTGTTTTATTGTCCACTACACAACAGACAGAGCTTTTGTTGAAGTTAAATTATTCAAGACTCGAGTAGGCGGTAAGCGTCTTTTACAGGGTACAACACCTCAGCAATCGTTCGCATCTCTTTCAGTGTGTTTCTGCTGGCTGAGAGGGAGCTTCATCATTGTTTCCCTGCCGTGCTTCAAGTGCTGACACATTCATCAAGTGGAGATGAGGCTATTATTCCCAAGGCCTGACGTCAGAGGATAGTTGGTTGTCTTTTGTGGAAGAGAATCGATTTTGAAATTGCAGTCTGTAGTCCCTGATGGGCACACAGCCTCCCTCTTGCTATTATTTAGTGGTCTGTCATTTTGAGTTTGGTAATTACGGCCGATGATTTTTAGCTTGGTGACATTTGGAGTTGTGCAGACAATGGGATTGAAGAAATTTTGCTCTGCGTCGAGTCTGACAGGCCAGCTATTAAGCTTAGCGTAGCAATTTATAGGTCTTCCAAGCTAATACCCCCCTGTATTGTGATTTTAACAATTTAGTATGCTGCTTCAATATCCTCACTTACTGTTAGCGTTCCCCACACATGCAAATGTGCTTAGCCTAAATCCATAAATATATGACTTTTCCTATTATGCCAAATTTTGTCATGTCACAAATGGCAGCTTGCCACCTATACTCAGCAAGCTGTGCATTTTGAAAGCTTGTCTAGTTGGTGGTTGGCGAGGCTTTCTGGAAGCTTCCAAAAGCTAAAAGAGCTTGGCAGCTGCCTCAGCCATATCTAAACACTCCTAAAATAAAACCAAACAGCAGGGGGGCACCCCAAGGCTGTCAGGCTAGTAAAGAAAAAGCTAAACAGAGGCATTTTAATATGCTCGGTTTAAATATTTGGTGTGGGCAGAACTGAGGTTATCGCCAGCTAACAGCAAGCCACCTGCTTTGGGTTTAGCGTTGTTGCTTTGTGTAAATGTCACTGTAGTGTTTCGTTGAAAGATAGCATATTTATATTGGTTTATGCTAAAATTACATGGGTGTTTGTGGAGTACTATAATCTCTAGCTGTTTCTGCAATCGATTGAGTGCGTTTTTATCTCAGGTTGCTGACAGCAAGCTGACAGTCTTGTGTCTCTGTCTGGTTCAAACTGGCTGTTTTTGCCACTAAGGGTTAAATAATGCATTTATAAGAGATTTCCGACAACTCCTGCCTGAGGATTGCCTAAGCCCTGACTTTTTTTTCTCAAATAGCCTTGGAGTGGTCGGACACATTTTGCATGCTTCTTTAGAAATCAATGTGAAACACGACCTTCACCCCTCTCTGCCCTCTGGTAGCATAGCTAAAATTAGATTATATTTCTGGGACTACTTGACCATAACTGCAACAATTGGTCTCATTTTACAGTCATTATTGTGAGTGGAAGTAGTGTATTGACATTTAATGTGGCCGCCCGCTACTGTATTCAGGACCATCATTGCTGTAGCTTTATTGCATTTCACAATGAAAAGCTGAAACCTCTCACCCTCTTTGTCTCTCAAATACTCTCATTCTAATTTGCATACCATCTGTTCTAAATAGAATACAAGGTTAGAACTTGTGGATTCTGCATTGTGGGTAGTTTGTTGAAATAGTATAACCAAATAGGTTGTCAATATGTTTCATTGCATTTTTTTTTTCCAGCTTGGTCACTTTATTAATCGCTGGTTGCCACAGCGGAAAGAATTGCCAACTTATCCAGCACATATTTTGAGCAGCGGATGCCCTTCCAGCTGCAACCCATCTCTGGGAAACATCCATACACACTCATTCACACTCATACACTATGGACAATTTAGCCTACCCAATGTACCACATGTCTTTGGAGTGTGGGGGAAACCAAAGCACCCGGAGGAAACCCATGCAAACGCAGGGGGAACATGCAAACTCCACACAGAAATGCCAACTGACCCAGCCAAGGCTCGGACCAGCAACCTCCTTGCTGTGAGGTGACAGCACTACCTGCTGCGCCACTGCATTGCTAATATTTAGGATAGATTTTAGATGAATTTAGCAAAATATTAGAATGTTTATTCACACTGAAGTTTTGTTAAATTTTAGCTCAATGTTAACACATCATGCTAAAAATGTGTAAATATACATTTTTAACATGTTTAATGTATAACGTTGAAGATAATGTTAAATGTTGAAATGTTGAAAATGTTGTTGTTTTTTAAACTATTAAGATATAATAAAAGAGTTTAGCTTGCTATTTAGCTATTAGAACACTTATGTCAACTAGTGTTGGGTATCGTTTGGGGTTATTTTGATACCAGTGCTAAATCGATACTTTAAAACGGCGCCTAAACCAATATTTATTTTTATTTTTTATACATTGTAAAACAATTTAAAAAATACAAAAAGGACAACATAAACATGTAACAATAAGCAAATACACTGTAGAGTACTTTGAACAACAACAACAACAAAAAAACAATTAAACAAAAACAAATAAAATAAATAAATAAATAAAAAAACAATAGTGCAATCTTACAAACAGAAAAAACAAGTCTACAATGTGTTGACCAGAACTAGTATCCAGTACCAAGCTGGGAGTTGGGTGTAGGGGGCTCAATCAGAAGCTGAAGATTTTGGATGTGTTTGCGAAGATGTTCCCCTAGTTTTTTCTAATTTCATAAAATAAAGAGCATTTCTTATCCAACAAGTGTGGGAAGTTGGGTAAAGGCTCTTCTAGTTCTAATTAATCGCATAGCCAGAAGGGTCAAGAAGGCTACAAAGTCTACAAAATGAGAGGGTGGTGTGGCTGGGCGAGAGAACCCTAAATAAACCAATAAGTGGACACGATGGGATATCAACAGTGCTAATAACAGACAACGAAAGGAAAATTTCCCTCTAAAAAGAAAGCAGGGAAGGACGGGACCAAAAAGAATCAATAGACTGGTGGATGCGAGCTAGCCTCCTCTTGCACCAATGAGCTCTGTGCACTAAACCGATACTTTTGAGCCACAAAATTATAGTGGAAAATCGTTTTATTCGATAAAAAATTGTTTTAAACATTTTAGTTGAACAATATAATTAAAGTTTAAAGTATACATCAAATCATATTTTATATATTTGAATTGCATTAATATATTTCTGTTGATCATTTGTTTGTTCGCATGAATGCAAGATTTGCGTTATGCAAAATTTTATTGCATTAGCTTACTACTAACCTCTAGAAAGGCTGTCATTAAAATCAGTGAGTGAACTCTTTCTAGGGTTATGACTTGAATGGTCACTGAGAACGTTTACATAGACACCAATACTCCAATTTTATTATGAAGTGTCAGATGATGTCGTACATTTCAAGTGTCTTGAAAGTGTCAGATGATGTCGCAAGCTGTCAAAGACAGTATTTAATTCCATTCGTTTGCAAATGTTTCATTAAGTTTGACATGTTTCCCACGCAACTTTTGTAACACATCTACTGCACGTTGCTGTGTCAGAATCCTTGCTTTTAAAATAGAGCCATACTTTAGACTGCTTACTTTAAGCAAATTTGATGAACGCAATCATGGGTGTTGATGAATCTGAAGGGAGTCGCGCAGCGGATGCTCTGTACTGCGTGCTTTACCTTCGATAAGCAGAAAAAACAGACGCCTAACATTGCTGACGTTGTCCCTAAAAGTTGTTTATAATTAAATGTCTATAGATAGTGTGACGATGCATATCTATCTGTGCCTTTGATGCACCCCTTGATGCTTCTCACTTCCTTGTCGCAGCACCAGTGGCACAGAAATTCATATGATGATTCACTCTGGAACATACCGGTTACATAGTTACTGGTACCATCGGTACCCAACCTTAATGTCAACATAGATGCTTATGTCCAAATTTTGTTATATAAGAGTAAATGAAAGTTGTATAAAAACATTATTTTTACTAATTGCTAACATTCAAAGAATTTTGTTACAACAGTAGCATATTAACTTGACGTACATACTTTTAATCTCTCATATGAGCACACAACATCTC